TTGAAAAAAAAAAAAAAAAAAAAAAAAAAAAAAAAAAAAAGCAATGCTGGCTTTTGAAGTTTTCTAACTGAATCCAGAAGTACGGGGACATCACCAGGAGAGAAGAGGGGCGCATGGTACAGAAGGGGGTGCAAGGCTGGTATCAACTGCAACAGCCAGCAAACTACATAGCTATGTGCGAGGTGTCTACGTCTGCCATGGGAACAGACCTGTAACCCCAGCCTTGGGCTGAGGCAGAAGGATCATGAGTTCAAAGCCAGCCTGGGCTGTGCCAAACCCTGCTTCCAAAAACAGATAACAAAGAGCTGCTCGGTGGTGGCGCACACCTTTAGTCCCAGCACTCGGAGGCAGAGGCTGGCGGATCTCTGTGAGTTCGAGACCAGCCTGGTCTACAATAGCTAGTTCCACGACAGCCTCCAAGGCCACAGAGAACCCCTGTTTCCAACCCCCCCCAAAAAAAAGAAAGAAAGAAAGAAAGAAAGAAAAACCCACAGACACCAAAGATATAGATATATAGATATATATAATCATTGTTGTGGTTTGCTCTTTAGAAAAAGCAACAGTAGAACAGACATTATTCTTTATAAATAACTGGCTCCTTTGTGTCAGTTTTTACATTAGAAAAATACATCCTGCCCAAATAGACCTTCCATGGGAAAAATCCATACAAATATAGGTTCAAAGTTCTGCCCAGAATGATGGGCCATCCCTGTCATCCTACCACTCAGGAAGGGGAGGCAGAAAGATTAGGAGTTCAAGGCCAACCTCGGTTAGATATCAAGTTCAAGGCCAGTCTGGGCTACATGAGACCCTACCTCAAATAACAACACCCTATACTTACACACACACACACACACACACACACACACACACACACACACACACACACGACTCCTGGTCACTGAAAAGGCTCTGCTTCCACAGTGTGGAAAGCCTCCATGGCTTTAAGAGCAACCCCTTCTGGTGGGCCAAACCTCAAGAGAGAACCACCTGTGTTAGTCACTATGACAGTGTTCTCTTCCCGAGACACTGTGGCTCTTGGATTGGACAAAATAAGCCCACTGGCAGTCCGAATAAGAATCTGCTCCTGTCCCTGAGACACTTCCTGGCACACGTCAGAAATTTCCAAAGCCAGGGCTTCCCCCACAGCAGCCACGGTCTCCGGCTCTCTCTGGCCATCTGCCTCCATCCTGGAGCGGAGCTGGCTGACATCCCCAGCTTTGTTTCCAATACTGGGACCCCCATTAGTGGACAATGACCCATCTGGTCCAGGATGAGGCCCTGGCTCAGGCACAGTGTTGGAAGCACAGGCAGCTGGCGGCACAGTGACAGGCAAGACGCTGTGGAGTGGGAAGGCTGCGGCCTCTGCAGGCAGGGAATGGCTGGGGCTGGCCTGCTGCCCTCTGAGGTGGGGTCGGCTCATTTCTCTTAGGTCTCCTGCTTCTGCATTTCCCCATCCTCCAAGAAGCAGGGACTCCACTCCTCCGCCTGATGGTGGGGTACCACGGACACGAGTGCTCCTCTGGATGGCCCCAGAATTCTGCCCTACAGAGTGTTCTGGAACATTCTCTTCAGAAAACCCTGACAGTGGGGCTGGGGGCAGCCCTCTGGGCTCTGCTACCTGGGAATAAAGAGCTGACCTACTGACATCCTGACGCAGAAGAGCAGGGTCTGGAGAGCCACTCCTGGCTTCAAAGTCAGCAGCTGCCGTCACCAAGAGCTGCTGGCCCGCAGGTGGTACACCTCTGCCACTCGAGGGAACCATCTCTCCACAGCTTCCTTCAGAGCAGGGAGAAGGGTTCTCAATGGCTGCAGGGGCAAAACCTGAATGGTTCAGAAAAACAACAGTCACATACCCATCACCACAGTGAGCTGCCCCAAATGAAACTTTCACCAAAGAAGCAGGAATGCAGGTTCTCTTGGAGGCTTGGGCTGGGCAGCGGGATTTTATTGGCTGCTGTATCTATTCACAAAGGTAGATTTTGTATTCTACATGCTCCAGGAGAATTTATGAAGCTGACTCACTGAATGAACCAACAGTGGTCCCTTTTTGGAGGGAAGCCCAAGGGTAAGAGAGGCTTTCAAAACAGATCCACAGACAACCCAGCCCCACCCCTGGAAAACCTGAAAGGTTATTTCGACATAACCTTTCCAGGTTCCCAGCTAAGAGACCCGGTCTTGGGGCCAAGGACCCTCTCACTCAGCCCCAGGACATATGTCGGACATATGATACTGAAGGACCATTTGCTGGAGGAAGCCAACTGTAAGATGATTTAGCAAGGGCGGTGTTCCACACTGTTGCTAGAGGTTCACTGTTCCCACAGAACACAACCGCTTCCCCTGGAGCAGAGATGCACACAAGTTCTAAAATGGGCATGGCCTCTTCCACTGAAGACCTTAGCATCAGGCCAGAAACCAGATAATCCTGGTAAGTCTTTGCAAAGACATGTGACTATTGCCAATACTGTAAGTTCAGAGTACCTAGTAGACAGGATCTGGTCACAGCCAGAACAAAAGCAAGAAAGTCTTCCTTTCAAGTGTCAGATACCACATGTTCAGTGCACCTATGTCCTAGATGCTAAGCCTCAGATGCAAGTGTCCTTGGGACCCAACTCTGCCCCACCTCTCAGAGCAGTCTGGGTCCACTAGCCGGAGAGTCCACTATGAAATGATTCTTAGTCAATAAAGGACTCTAGGAGACCCCAAAACCTCATTACACGGGCATAAACATGGCATGACAGAGTGTTGGAAGGTAGGGATAAAACCCCAAGAGACCAGAGGGGTCTCTCAAATTAGGTCAAAGGGGTACTCCACCCCTAAAAGTGATGGTTCTGGTGCACCTGTGCCTTCTAGTAGGACCACTGAGTATGTGGCAACCCACAAATTACATGATTTACCCTTGCTGGCTGGAGCACGTGGGGACCCAGGCTTCTGCTGGCATCCACTGACGGCAGCAGGACACTCAGGGACATCTGTGGGCAGAACTGCTGTCCGGGCCTTCTTCACTGAGGCCAAACCCTCCCCTGTGACCTACAGAGAGAGGACTCCCTTCTTGGAGCAGCCTAGAGAGGCAGAGGAGCTGGGACTGACACAGCCGGATGCTGAATCCAACATCCCACAGATGTCAACACTGCACCACTCACCGCCACAGCCTGCTCCCTGACCCTCTTCTGTCCACAGGCTTCCTGCGGCTTCCCTTCCATTCCCTGGCAGGAGCACTCTGGCACACTGCTTGGGTGCCGCTCTTTCTTCCTCAGGAATTCTGTGATTCCTAACGACCTGGCAACCTGAGGGAAAGGGGAGAAAAGGAACTTTGCTCAGAGCACAGTGTGCCCGGTGTGTCAATTTCCTGTCTAGACCTGAGTAGAACTCGAAGAGGCTCCTTTGTACAGTAAAGTGCAGTTGACAAGGAGAAAGATGACAGATACTAAGTCATGTGGAGCCCATCATCAGCACAGCTAGCAGGAGCTGCCAGCAGTGATGGTATTCAGGCATTTATACTGGCCCACTTTTGGAGTTCTGACAGGATAAGCCTTCAGCTATTGCCACTAAGAGCACCACCTGTGCCTACTCACTATGTTTCCTTTTAAAGGGGCCCTGCCCACCTCCCATCCTTCTCTCTGCCTCTCTGTCTTTCCCTCTCTCTTCTCTTCTGCTGCTCCTGTCCCCAGAGGCCTGTCTCCCCTCTCTCCTCCCCCTTTTCCCATTTGCTTTCCCCCAATAAAAAAACCCCTCCACCTAAGCTCTGTGGCATGGCATCTTTCTCCTGTGTTGATTTTAGAATCAGAAGTGGGGGTGGAATTGAATCTCTCTCCTCCGTGCCATCACGGCCTTACTAACACAAATGCAACCGAGATTTCTATCTTGCTAGTTGTTACTCTTTTTTTCTTTCTCTTTCAATTCTTTTTTTTTTTTTTTTTTAATTTTCCAGACAAAGTTTCTCTGTGTAGCTCTGTAGACCAGGCAGGCCTTGAATTCACAGAGATCTTCCTGCCTCTGCCTCCCGAGTGCTGGGGTTAAAGGCGTGCAAAATCACTGCCTGGCTTCTCTTCCAATTCTTACTGGTCTTTTTTTCTCCCTCATCTACCTCCTTATGCTCCCCTCCTCTGGCTCTGTGGGTTTCAGGTGCCCTACAAAGTTTCTGTGAGGCTCAGTGTGGCTTCCATCTAATATGGGGGGGGGAGCAGGGGCACATTTGAACCTGTGTGTATATAGCAAATGTAAAGGTGTAGGGACAGCTAATACCCTTTATACTGGACTTTATAAAGAGAACACCCTTAGGCATAAGACAGAATGAGGACCAGTAGGAAGGACAGCAGAACACGACTAATGGAGAAAATTGGGTTTGGTAAGGGTAGCACTGCCCAAGCTGAATAGTGTCCCCTTACAAAGTAAGCTACAGACACTGTTCTAAAGTACACATAAAACAAAATTATATCATGACATGAGTGACTGTTGTCATCTATGGAGAATCTGCACAAGCCTTTAGGAAAATAATCCAATGTTTATAATACATAATTAAAAAATAAAATCCTTGGCGGGCGTTGGTGGTGCATGCTTTTAATCCCAGTACTCAGGAGGCAGAGGCAGGCGGATCTCTGTGAGTTCGAGACCAGCCTGGTCTACAAGAGCTAGTTCCAGGACAGCCTCCAAAGCCTCGAAAGCCACAGAGAAACCCTGTCCCAGGAACTGAACCTGAGTCCTCCTCCAGAAGTGCCCTTAGCTGCTGAGCATTCTCTCCAGGCCTCCACAACGCCTTCGTAAGCATTCACACTACATGTGTAACCATTTGTTTTGTAAGTAAGGGAGAGTGTGTTGATCCTTGGCAGCAGTGTGAAAGCCAGAAAGTCCCACTTAAGTGAGACCTAGGGGCCTGTGCAGAGTAAACATAAGGGAGAAAGAGAGAGAGGGAGAGAGATGGGGAGAGAGAGAGAGAGAGAGAGAGAGAGAGAGAGAGAGAGAGAGAGAGTGTGTTAAAAGTGTTAACCCTGAACTTCAGGGCACGGGGACTGTAGTGTTCTTTTCTTTGAGCTATTCCAATTTTCAGTTTTCTCTATTACATTAATAAACCAAAACTTTACTTGACAGGACGAGGCCACACACAGGCTAAATATGAAGCTGCCTTACTAGCGGCACCTCCCTTGTTCACAGACTCCTCCCTTTGGCTAACGAAGAAGCAATGCTTTGTCCCTCAAAATGGCACCTCATCGTTGTTTATCTCCAGGGGCTCCTGAGAACACAGGCCAGAGCTGCTGAGGTAATCCTGACACAGTCTCTTCACCACATCATACAACTCTTCAAACTCCTTGTACACAGCTGGAAAGAAAGGCTTCACTCCACGACTTCTCTCAACCTTTGTGAAGGCGAAGATGAGAAGAGTTTAAAACGAGGCAACAGAAACCATAAGCTAACTCTGGAGACAGAGGGAGCTGAGGCCCTTCCCCCAGGAGTGGTCAGTGACCAGAGTTTCCTTCCCTTCCTAGTGGTGCTATGTATGCCACCACCACGCCCAACTCTGAGAGGCTAGGTTGGGGGTAGGATGCCAGAAAACAAATCCTTAGGGTGAAGGCCACAAACCCTGGGATTAGGGTGACCCACAGGGAGCATACAGTTGGGAAAAGGGCACCTTCAGCTCCTAAGGGGTACATTCCCACTGCAGGTTCTGGGCGCCAGAGCTCTCTTCAGCTCTGTCCTAGGGAAGGAAAATAAGTTACTCCAAATGGCCTGGTACATTCTAAAGGAAGTAGGGAGCCAGCTCACGATGTGCTCAGGCTAACCCTCTAACTTGCAGGGGGTCCAGCATATGGTGTGCTCAGGCTAACCCTCTAACTTGACATACCACAGGGACTCACCTTCACCACAAGAAGTTCACACAGGGTCACCACCTGAGCCAGCTGAGGCAGAACCAATTCTACCAGCTCCTCCCGGCCACACTGCTTAAGAACCTGTGGAAACACAGAGTTGGCCACCTTTATCTGGAGTTGGTGTGACTTGGGCAGAAAGATCCAGAATCCGGCTGTATGCAGTTGCACACTGTGCTGTAGCCCAACAACAGAACACCATGGTCAGTTCTAGCTCCAAACATGGACACATCACTGAAGGAGCCGCTAACTATGAGTGTCGGGGCTCCGGTGCAGAGGAGAGCCACACAGCTGCAGACAGTACCCAGGGACAGGCAGGCAGGCAGGGGGTTGGAAAAGCAGCCCAGGCTAGGCCGGGAGAAGCCCAAAGACTTGGATTTCCTTCCAGGGGTGGCATATGGAAGGAGATTATGCTCTGTTAGAAGGGGGTGTTGGTGTGTTGCCAAGGTTAGCCTCACACAGGCCCCTGCCTCAGCTCTCTGAGTATCACCTGGTTCTGGAGGGAGGGAAGGCAGGTGGTGGTGTAGGGAGAGGAGGATCTGAAGCGAGCACTGCTTCAGGAGGCAACACCATCAGATAAGCAAGAAGGGGGGGACGTGTAACCAGGGAGATGAGGGAGGAGGAGCAGGGGGAGAGCCTATCAGGTCCAAGATGGGGACGGGGTGGGTTGGGGGCGGAGCTGGGAGAAGAAAGAGGCTGAGCCAGGCGTAGTAGTTCAGCCTACTAATCTCAGCACTTGGAAGGCTTGAGGTAGAAAGCTTGGCAGGGCCAGTCTGGGCTCCATAATGGGAGTTTACAGCCATCCTGGGCTACAGAGTGAACAATGTGTCAAAGACCTAAACAAAAACAAGAAAGAGGAAGGGGAGGAAGAGGCGGTGGAGGGATGGACTTCTAGCTTGAGCACTAGTGGCCTCTGTGTCCTCCATCTCCCAGCGCTGGGCAGGATCCCAGCTGTGTACCCTCCACCACACGGAAGGTGGGGAGTGCACGGGCACCATGTACAGAGCTTTCTTTCGTTTGGGGGGTTGGTTTGGGGGGTTGGTTTGTGAGGGTATTATTTTTGGGTTTGTTTTGTTGGAGAAAGTATTTTACTACATAGCTCTGGCTGGCCTTGAAGGCCCAGAGATCTGCCTGCCTTTGCCTGAAGTACTGAGGTTAAAGGTGTATGCTACATGCTCAGCCACTGAGTTTCCTGGTGACAGATGCAGGCTCCAGAGGAAGGCCTCGTCAGGAAGGACAAACATGGGATCTGCAGAGTGGACACACCAAGTGTGAGCGGTGCAGGGAGGCCTGGGTTCAGAGAGAGTAAACAGGGGCTGCCAAGATCTGAGGGGCCCAGAGGAGCTCAGCAAGAAACTTATTGGCAGGACAAAAATGTGTAACTACAGGCCTGCGTGCCTGGTGCATGAGTGCCGTCCCCAAAACCCAGGTGAAGGTAGCCGGAGGGGGCCAACTCTGCCAAGTTCATCTCCACATACCCACAGATGCACGTAAAAGCACGTGCAGGCTCAAGGCACACGCCTGCACACATGCACACGCCTGCACACATGCACACGCCCGCACACATGCACACGCCCGCACACATGCACACGCCCGCACACATGCACACGCCCGCACACATGCACACGCCCGCACACATGCACACGCCCGCACACATGCACACGCCCGCACACATGCACACGCCCGCACACATGCACACGCCCGCAGCACACGCCCCACGCCCGCACACATGCACACGCCCGCACACATGCACACGCCCGCACACATGCACACGCCCGCACACATGCACACGCCCGCACACATGCACACGCCCGCACACATGCACACGCCCGCACACATGCACACGCCCGCACACATGCACACGCCCGCACACATGCACACGCCCGCACACATGCACACGCCCGCACACATGCACACGCCCGCACACATGCACACGCCAGCACACATGCACACGCCCGCATACATGCACACGCCTGCACACATGCACACGCCCGCACACTAGGCAATTAAGTTTAACTTGAACTTTCAAAAGCTCTTGGGAGAAGACAACCTTGTGGTCTCAGCTCTGTGGATGTGTGGGAAAGCTGGTTCATATGGTGTCACCTTGCCATGACTTCAACTCTGGGCAAGTGTTTGATAGCAGTCATCTCTTTAATGGTAGCCAGTGAGAACATCCACCTGGCAGTTTTGTCAACCAACAGGTTTGGCTGTCACTCCCCCTGCTTCCTGCTGGAGTGGCAACTTTGTCTAGTTTGTACACACTGCCCCTCCATAACCAGAGCTGGGCTTGATATGTTCTGGGCACAGTTCATTGACAAATAGATGAGAACTTCTTGAGGGGAGCGGTTCTCATCTAAGAGTCAGAGTGGCCCTGCTCACAGCAGCTACTCAACTATCGGACAGAGAGGGTGCTGTCGGGAGGAAAGAGTCCCACTGTAGCCATTTTGCACAGCCTGGGCCAGCCTCACTGCCCCTGATACCAAAGAACCTGAATTCAATTCTGGCCCTGCCTCCTGCCTGCAGCCTCCCTGAGCAACCTTGCTTTCCTGGAGTTTCAGCTGCTCATGTGTTAAGGTGGAGACCACAGTGAAATACACACAAGGAGGCTGACTCGGGGATTAGCAGAGTCCAGGGAGGGAGAGCGGCTGAGCTGCCTCACTGAAAATGCTCTGTAGATGGTACTAATTCTAATGCCAACCACTAACTCCAAAGACTCTGTCTCAAGTCTCTACAGTCAGCCATACAAAGTTGCATGACTCCAGAGGAACGGAGCAAAGCGGCAATTTGTAATGTCACATGTGCCTAAGACATGTTCTAGGAAGACCACTTTCTAGAAACCCGTCTTAATCACTGAGCCAGCTCTCTCGCCCCATGGCCTGGAACCCTCAACCCTTTTGCTTCAGCCTCCCTCTTGCACCACCACACAAGGCTAGGATGTTGGTGTTTTACTTTCAACTTCAGAAACCTGACAGGGAGCCAGAGATGATGGCCCAGGCCTGTAACACCAGCACCCAGGAGACTGAAGCAAGAAGACTGTGAGATCAAGGCCAGCAGGAGCCTATGCATCATGACCCTGTCTTAAACAAGAAACAGAGAGAAGGCAGAAGGGAGTTGTTACATACTGGGCCAGCTGACTTTGAGTTACCTCCTGGAGCCGTGCTCTCCTGGAGACGCTCAGCCTTGAGGGTGCAACAGGAGCGCTGTTTGGCTGGACAGCTCTGCTCTGTGGGAGGCTGGCTGTGCTGAACTCTGCCTGGCTTGCCCAACTTCCATTCTTAGGTTCTAGGTACTTCTCTGGTTTCACAGGAGCCGGGGGACTTCTACTTTGTGCTTCAGGTACCACTGTCTCTTCAGCTTCGAGAGGCTGACCATTCTAAACAGTGTTGCACATCCAAAAATAAAACAAAATGAGATTTTGAAAAATCATGCGTTATGATATGCCATCATGGAAACCTTAAAGCAGAAAAATGTCCAGTCAAATGCAAAGGACTCCTACACTATTTTTCTCTAGTTAACCCTCTTTAACCACAATGGTACATTCTAAACTTTCCCAACACCCGGGAGGCAGAGGCCAGGATCTCTGTGAGCCTGGTGTACATAGTGAATTCTAGGATAGCCAGAGCTACATAGTGAGACCTCTGTCTTGAAAAACAAAACAAAATAAAAGAATGGAATCCATGGGGCTGGAAGGATAGCTCAGGAGTCAGCAGTGCTGTCTGTTTTTCCAGAGACAGGGTTCTAATCCCAGCACCCACATGGTGGCTCACAACCATCTGTAACTCCAGTTCCAGGGATCCAATGCTCTCTTCTGGTCTCAAAAGACAAAATGCACACACATGGTACACAGACATACATGTAAACAAAACAACCATACACACAAAACCAATTAAAAAGAAGGAAGGAAGCCACTAAGTGGAAACACGGTAATGGGGTAAGTTGGGAACTTGGCTAGGGGACCAAGGTGAAGGAGATGTGCTCAGTTTAGAATTCCAGAATTCCCTCCCGCCTGCTGGTGCAGCTCCTGCCCTGAGGTTCACTGGGTTTGCCCCTTTCTGAGACCTACCTAAAGGTGGGGGGCACTATCTCTTCTTCTCTTTCTTCCTCCTCCTCCACCTCCTTCTGTTCCATCTTTTTCTTTCCGATGCTGCCCAGAGCCTACATGTGATCTTAAACTTCCTGAGTAACACTCTGGGCTTCCTTGCTGTTTTTCTTTTTTTCCCCCATCTTGTAACTGCATGATTTTATTAAATCTACTTTCTCTAACAGAACTATCAGTTGAAGACAGAAAATTTCTTACAGATACAACCTCCTGACTGTTTTTCTAAAGCTCCCCTCCCCACTATGTAGCTGCTCTCCAGGCTGCCTCATCTCAGGCAGCTTGGCTTTGGTTCTTTCCCTTCTCCGTTCGCCTTCTCCCTTATAGACAGCTGTGGGACCTACAGTTTGCCTGCCCAGGTTTTCTTTTAAACTCTAGTAAACTTTGTTTGTATCAGTTCTTAAATTCTTTTATTGATAAAACTAAGAATCCTAGGAGGGGACCCCAATTTCCCAGATAACATCTGATAGGACTCCCAAAAATTTCTGTAAACACTTCTTTTCTGCCTTTTGTTTAATTGGCAGAGAAAATGAACTCATTCCTGCAATGCTAGACAGCATCAATGGGGTATGTCTAAAAATAAAACCAAGGGCCTACAGTGCTGGTTAAGAGCCCTGACCACTTGTCCAAAGTACCCAGATTCAATTCCCAGCACCCACATGGCAGCTCACAACCACCTGTAACTCCAGTTCCAGGGGCTCTGGCATCCTCACATAGACATACATGCAGGTAAAACCCCAATGTACATAAAAAAAAAAAAAAAACTGTTGAAATTGGCGGGGCGTTGGGGGGATACACCTTTAATCCCAGCACTCAGGAGGCAGAGGCAGGTGGATCTCTGTGAGTTCGAGACCAGCCAGGTCTACAAGAGCTAGTTCCAGGTCAGCCTCCAAAGCCACAGAGAAAAAAAAAAAAAAAAAAAAAAAAAAAAAAAAAAAAAAAGCCAGGCCTGGTGGCATATGACTTTAATCCCAGCACAGCAAAGGTAGACCAAGCAGGCACAGTGAGTTCCAAGCTAGCCAGGGCTACACAGAGGCTACCCTGCCTCAGAAACAAAAAAAACGAGGGAGACACAAATACCTTGGGAGAGACAGACACATAACAGGCAGGTCCAGGTCGGTTAGTAGAGCTTGTTAACACAGAGATCTCTGGTTCATATTCTCCAGGCAGACAAGAATCTACAGCTGTCTTCAGGAGCTAGCCTGTGCTCTCCCTGGTTGAGAAAGGGCAGGGTGCTCTTTGTCTTCATAAATCTGTCTTGCTTTTAGGCCAATAGAGGAAGAGCAGAGAGTGCCCGGCACTCACTGCTTCTATCTTCAGCTCAGTAATCCTTTATATTTAGGGGAGGTACCTTCTGCTTTCCAACACCACCCTGCCCCATACAACTTGAGACGAAGAATGGTCTTTTTCTTTTCTTTCTTTTTTTTTTGTTTTTTTTTTGTTTGTTTGTTTGTTTTTTGAGACAAGACTTCTCCCTGGACCTAGCTCTCTAGACCAGGCTAATCTCGGACTCAGAGATCTGTTTGGGATTAAAGGCATGCACCACTGCCCAGCTCAAAGTGGCTTTTCAAAAGTTGAAGTTTTCTAGGGCTAGAGAGGTGGCTCAGTGGTTAAGAACATATGTGGTCACCAGACCTGAGTTTGGTTCCCAGGACCCACATCAAGTGGCACATGAACACACCACCCACACACACACACACACACACACACACACACACACTTAAAAAACACACTTAAAAAATAACAAGATTAGAGTTTTCCATCTATGAAAATCTGGCATCCTAGCCTACAGTGTAGGCTTTGAAGCCAAAAGACTTGGCCTGACTCCACTTTGGACTGAGACCTAGAAGCGCTGGGCCTGGGCTTGATCAAGTCACCCCTCTGGGCCTCACTGCAGCACCTCACGTGGGAGTGGTCACTAAGAAAATGTACAGGGGCTGGGCATAGAGTGAATCCCAGCATGGGGAGGTGGCGGCAGGTGGATCGCAAAAAAGTACAGGGGCTGGGCATAGAGTGAATCCCAGCATGGGGAGGTGGCGGCAGGGGGATCGCTGAAAACAAAACAGAATGCACAGGGCCAGGTAGGGCCCAGTGGTAGAGCACCTGCCTGGAAGCAGAAGTCCTTGAGAACAGTCCTTATCACTAAGAGGAAGAGGAAGAGGGAGGGAGGGGAGGAAGGGGAGGAGGAGGAGAGGTACAGTGAGGCACAGGACTGTCCAATGTCTGCATAAAGTAAATGGTAGTGGTACTGTTGGCACCAATGCTAAAGGCATGGTAACATTTTTAAATCCATCACAAGGCTGCCCCAGGGCTCTACCACCAGGCTCCAGTACAGATCTCCTGGGCCCAAATGTTCTGTCCCAAGGTACTAATGTTAATCAAACATTAAAGTAGTTTCACCCTACTTTAGAAGCTGTTGATCCACTACGAGGAGAGAAGCCACAGCAGGCAGGCACTATGGATTATGCCCCAAACCTGACCTTTCCCACATTCCTTGGCCACCTGAGTAGCAGCAGAGAGTAAGTAGGGCCATAGACAAAAGAATCTACCTCCCACTTGTTCGGCATCAGTGTAACAACTCTGGGTCTGGGCCCCTCAGGACTTGGTCCTGAGCCCCATCTGACACTGTTAAAATTTAATTGAAGGAGGATGGGGAAAAGCACAGACACAAGGGCTCCATCAGCAGATAGAAATGTTACCTGCGGGTTACACCAGGCTGACTCTGCCTCTTCCGTGCAGAGAGCGGCTGGTGTGGACAGCACGGGGGAAGCCAGACCTCTGGTCTTTGAGCCCATGCACCCCAGAGTCGGGCTCCTATTAGCTTTCTCGGACAGCAACATCTCAGGCTCCAGCTGGCCATGGCCTGGATTGAGTTTAAAATGCCTCGCCAGTCCCCCCTTTCCTATGTATGCCTTTTCACAAGTCTGACACCTAAAGGCCTTGGGCCTCAGGGCACAGCCCTCAAGGTCAAAGAGCCCTCGCTTCTCTGTCTGCTCTTCCTCCTCATCCACACTCAGCTCTGAGTAGTCATCAGAATCTGACAGGTGCTCATCTGCTAAGTCCTCTGTTTTGATGAATTTATAATCTCTGGCTTTATATTTGGGAGGCCGGGATATCCGTCCAGATCGTGTCTTCACCTTTAAAGATTTCTTCATTGTTACGGTACGTGCTGTGGGCAAGCTGGAAATGAACAGACCTGCTGAACTGGATGAGACAGGTGCCACTGCAGGCGGGCCAGAGGCCACCAAGGAGCTCAGAGTGACCCCATGCCCATTTGCAGCCTGAGGGGCCTTGACTCTCCTTGAAGGGACTGGATGAAGGGCTGGCAGTGGCTTCTGTACAAGCACCCGAGGAGCAGAGGGCTGAGAGAAGCTTCTGAGGAAGCACAGCTGTGAGCCAGTCCTCCCCAGGGCCTGCACCCTGAGCAGCTGAGGGCTGGAGACATAGAGCCCCGGGCCGGAGCTCCTCCTAGGTAGCTGGCTTTGTCTTGCTGTTTTAGGTTGGATGGTGGCCAGAGGGGGCATTGGCCTTTCCGTACGTTTTGTGTCACCAGATGTCACCTTGACACAAATGGCCTCAAGTTGCTTAAACACAAAAAGAAAATGGGAAAAAGAAAAGAAACATTACAATTCCCAACATCTGTGCTGTCCGCATCCCCACCACCACCCAACAGTTGTGAGCTACCTAAAGCAGGTGCAGAGAACCGAACTTGGATCCTCTGAAAGAACAGTACACGCTCTTAACCACTGAGCCATCTCTACACTGTGTGTGTGTGTGTGTGTATGTGTGTGTGTGTGTGTGTGTGTGTGTAAGCTATGTGTGTGCAGGTGCCCAACACCGACGGAGGAGATCAGATCCCCCATAGCTGGAGTTGTTAAAGGTGAGTTGTAACATGGGTGCTGGGAACAGAACTAGGTCCTCTGGAAGAGCATAAGACATTCTTAACCACTGACCCATCTCTCCAGCCTTCTTGATATATGATTTTGTTAAAAACTGTATAATAGTATCAAAGGGGCCTGGAGAGATGGCTCAGAGATTAAGAGCACTGGCTGTTCTTCCAGAAGACTTAGGTTCAATTCCCAGCAACCACACCACAAGCTCGCAAACATCTGTCACTTCATTCCCAAGGTATCTAAGGCCCAGACATATAAGCAGGTAAAACATCCATAGGCATATGAGTTTTAATTATTTATTTTTAGTTTATGTGCATTGGTGTTTTGCCTGCATGTGTATTATGCAGATCTCCTGGAACTGGAGTTAAGACACCTGTGAGCTGCCATGTGGGTGCTGGAAATTGAACCCAGGACCTCTGGAAGAGCAGCCAGTGCTCTTAACCTCTGAGCCATCTCTCTAGCCCCTGAATAAAAATTTTTTAAGGAAAATAATATTTTAGCCAAGTGTAACAGTACACATCTTTAATCCCATAATTCTGGAGGCAGAAGCAAGCATATCTCTGTGAATTGTAGGCCAGCCAAGGTATATAGTGAGATTCTGTCTCAAAAAAATAAAACAAAATAGTATCATCCCAAATTGGGAGTGGTGACATACATACTTGTTAACTCAGCATTCGGGAGGGTGAGGCAGGAGAATGGCCACAAGTTACAGATTGGCCTGAACTACATAACAATGTATTATGTATCTATCTCAACATCAACCATCAAGTAAGTAGACAAAGCCATCTCCTGTAGCCTGACTGCATTTTCAAGACTTCAGAGGATTGTTTTTCTTTTGAGGAATTCATCCTCATTGATGCATGTAACTCCAAGTTCATTTTCTCTGCAATACTGAGTTCATTATTCTCCTATTCTCCTATTGATGGAGATAGATGCTTTCTAAGGCTGTTTTTATAGTCTGTTCAAAATCCTACTAGTGTGTATTTATGTATGTGTGTGAGTTTCTCCAGCAATAAACACCTAGAAGTAAGGTTGCAGTTTCAACAGGTTTTTTGTTTTGTTTTGTCTTGTTTTTGAGACAGGTTTTCTCTGTGTAGCTTTGGAGCCTGTCCTGGAACTCCCTCTGTAGACCAGGCTGGCCTCGAACTCACAGAGATCTACCTGTCTCTACCTCCCGAGTGCTTGGATTAAAGGTGTATGCCACCAACGCCCTGCCAGTTTCAACAGTTTGTTTTTTTTTTTAATTCAACGAAAACTGTATATGCTCTTTGACCCAGTAATTTGACCCACCAGATGCCAGTAGCATCCCCAAGGTGTGACAAAGTTTGTGTTTCTCCAGGGGCTGGGATGCAGCCCCGATGATTTGAGACCAGCACAGCCTCTACAGACCCAGTCTTTTACCAGTGGGAGCTGGTAACTGTCACAGAGGGCAGGACTGCCACTGAGGTCAAGCTGGGATGCCCCCTTGTCTGCATGCCTGGCACACTATTACAAACAGAAGACCTGCTTTGTGATTACGGCATATGAAGACGTACGTACAGTAGGTGCAGGTGTCCCATGAGCCCATAATTCCTGCTTGTGACTCCAAGATAGCGAGTTTTGCTTTGCTGTGCACATCGTTAAGAAACACTGCTTGTTCACTTCACTGTAAGTGTCCCAGCTTGTCTCCAAGCTCTTGGGATATAGCAGATATCTTAAGAATGCACACACACACACACACACACACACACACACACACACACACACACACACACACACACCCTTGTTTTAGGGAAACTGGTCTAATTTATTGATCTGATATCCTGACTGGCTAACCATGTGTGCCAGTGGGTGTAGCACTTGCTACTTTGTTTTGTGTCTATTTTGTTCAGCATAAGTCTGTAAGTCCCTCTGGCACCCACTTATAAAAATAGGCTAAACCCTGCTCTCACCCTGAGGTCTCCCTGGCCCTTTGTTAATCCCTGAAGTTCTATAGGATTGCCTCTCCTGGGACAGAACCCCCAGACCCATCTTTTCAAAAGTTTCACTGATGATTCTAAAAGCAGGCAAGAATCTCCAGGGACAGGTCAGGCAGATAATAATGTCACTGTGATACAAACGGAGGCTGTCCCAGAAGAGACAGTCTCTAAGGTACCTTGAAGGTTGCAATGAATTCTGTCAGGCATGCAAGACGCTTTGGTCTAAGGGAAAAGAGCAGATTCCTGGAGGCTGGAAATGTGCACAGGTGTTGGTGGAACTGTGTCTGTGGGGTGAGAGCAAGAGAGGTGGAGACCAGCGTCCCAAACTACCACAGGAAGTGTGCTCACTGGTGTGTCCTTCTGGGTCACTGTCCCCACGCTGAGCCCCAACTGTACCCTGTACACTGCCTGTCCTCTGCTGAATTTCCAGTCAGAACGCATCTTTGCATGTCTAGCTCAAATACTGCCTTTTCAACACTGACTGGTGTTCCAAGACAGAAACTATTTCCTGTTTTCTGAAGGTATTCAGTTCTTTGAATCCATAAGTTTTGGCCTTGGTTGGATATTGTCTGGGTCATGCTTCATTTCCAACTAGTTCACAGATCCCTCAGGGGCAAAGTCCACATCTGCTTAGCCTTTGGCTTTCAATGGTACGTTTAGGCTGCAAGTTATCTGTAGACCAGGCCACACAGGTACATTCAGCTCTCACCATCTCCGTTAGATCAGCTACCAACTACAATTCTATCAAGCTAACTCTAAGTCTGCCTTTATTTAATGGAGATTACGTTATTACCTCCTTCCAAAGCTGTTCTATCAAATTCAAAGTTGTGACCATATTTAGCAGGGTGGTGAAGATGCAGGCTCTATAGTATAGCCGCCTGAGACACAACACACTGAGCAAAGTCACTTAACCTCTCTTGAGCTGGTTCCCCAGGGGCTGGAGGTAAAGCTCCGCTGGTAGTGTTTAACTAACCACAGAGTAACCTTGAGTTCAGTCCCCAGCACTGCATAACCCTGGCATGGTGCTGCCTTCATCCTGGAGCATGTTGAGGAAGTATTAGACATTCAAAGTCAGCCGGGAGGTGGTGGCACACGCCTTTAGTCCCAGCACTTGGAAGGCAGAGGCAGGAGGATCTCTGTGAGTTCCAGAACAGCCAGAGTTGTAACACAGACAAATCCCGTATCAAAACAAAACAAAAAGGAAAGAAATTCAAATTCATTTTCAGCCACACATCAAATTTGCATCCAGCCTAAGAAATGAGGCCTAATCTCCAATAAACAAACAAAAAGCAAAACACAGGCTGGGCGTTGGTGGCGCATGCCTTTAATCCCAGCACTCGGGAGGCAGAGGCAGGTGATCTCTGTGAGTTCGAGGCCAGCCTGGTCTCCAGAGCAAGTGCCAGGATAGGCTCCAAAGCTACACAGAGAAACCCTGTCTCGAAAAACAAACAACAAAAAAAAAAGCAAAACGCCATCCACCATGTGGTTGCCGACACCCACGCCACTCAGAGAAAAAGTTTGGCACAGGACAGAGGCACTGTGACAGGAGCTGCCACTTCTTGGAGGCTGTACCAGTAGTGTGCCACATTCTGACCCAGAGTTGATGTCCAGGGCCTGTGCGGAGACACTTTTTCCGTTGCCGCACACTGAAGCTTATCTAGTGAGCCAGCCTTCCCGCAAACAAAGAAACCAATGGCCAAAGAGGGTCACTCACTCTTCTAGAAAGTGCTGTTGGGCAGTCATACCGCCTTACCAAACTCTAGCAACACAGGTCTCCAGTCTTTTTCTTTAATTTAAAAAAATTTATTATGTGTGTGTAGGTCAGGGGACAACTTTGTGGAGTCGGTTCTCAGCTTCCACCTTTTCATGGGTTCTGGGGATGAAGCTGAGGTTGCCAGGCTTGGGTGGCCTTTACACACCAAGTACCTTCACCAAGCTGGGCCATCTTGCTGGTTCACCTGTCCAGACTTTTAGTTTTTTTATTTAAACTATTCCCTCAACCGAATTTCCAGTCTCTATGACCAATTGGAAACAAGCCTACACAGCCAAAAACTACCTGAAAGCCAAACCTCAAAGCTGAAGACTGCCGAGTTCTAGTGTACTCCCTACACTATTTATTCTGATGGAAGCAGCTGTCTCTTTGGGTAACTCTGGAGTGAGATGTGTTTTGTCATTTCCGACGCCAGCCGGCCAAGGGGATGTGTTTTTACGCCTGACACGGAGTGCCTGCAGTTTCTTTCGGGAGCTATCGGGATCCTCCAGGGAGGAGAAGCCAGATTGTAGTTCCTGCTCTCCCAACTGCCAAACGCTGTGTGAGCAGCGAAGTAAACCAGGGGCGCTCTGCAGTACGGGGCCTCCGCGTGCTGTACATCTGCTGCTGTATCGGGACAGGGTACAGGACACCGGGTTTGCCCAAGTCTACAGCAGCCCACTAGCGGGGACGCTAAGCTGTGCCGCGGGGTGGGAGGCGGCCGCTGCGCTGCGGGCGAGCGAGCGAGCTTCTGGTGTTTGTCCTCGGCGTCTGCTCAGCTCGGGGCTCCGGTGTCAGGGCCACGGCACCGCCCGCTGGAAAGCGAGTCCTCCCTCGTGTCCCCCGCGGGGGACACGCT